GCCTAGAATCCTTTTTCTTTTAGTATTAATGGTAAGATCTAATTTTTTTTTTAATTTTTAAAGAGAGAAGGGAAGGGAGAGAAATATTGACATGAGACACATTGATCAGTTGCCTCTTGCACATGCCCTGACCAAGGACCCAACCCACAACCTTGGCATGTGCCCTGACTGGGAACTGAAACAATGACCTTACTCTTTACAGGACGATGCTCCAAAAAACTGAGCCACACTAGCCAGGGAAAGATCTAATTTTTAATAAGGGCCATCAATGATGACCCTAGAGATTAAGTGGCCAGGATAATTCAATGATGATTTGTCCTCTTATCTTCCAAAAGCAAGTGCTGGGCTTGAGTTCAAGCACATGTCCCTATTCCTACCCATCAGAGCACAGACCTATCACGTGGGTGCAGTTCTCTGAATGCTTTTATTTGGATATTTTTTTCCAGAAGAAACATGTTTCTTATGCAGCAATCTTGATAAATGCAACTGAGCTCTATTTCTTGGCTTTGAGGTAATGAAAAATTAATTACCATACTTTACAAGTAATACTTTCCATTCACAGCACTCCCTTAGAAGTAAATATATCATAAATAGTTACTATTATACCAATGGCTGGTGGATTGGGCAGCCTGTCGTCCATAAATCCTTTTTCAACAGATACGTTATTTCTTCTGGGGAACAAACAGATTTGTTTTAGATCAGAGAGTCAACTGACAGATGGCCTTTGTAAAAACACACCATTTGTATAAATAAATTACAGTTTTACTATGGTGTTCTGCTTTTGTAGATTTGGAAAATCAATGCCCCCATTCTCTAGAATTGATCTAAATTGTAAAGAGCAATTTTGTTTAGGTGTGAGTCTACATTGCACAGACCTCCCAACACAGATGCTGAGGTCCAAACCCTCCAGATGGATGCTGCCTCTTCCCATCCCAATTGCTGCAAAGAGCCCTGCCTAGAGGTAACAGGATGCTCTCCCAGGGAGCCCCAGCTCCACCCCAGAGCCTACCGAGACACCAGCTGGCACACTCCCCTTAGCTCCAGGTTCTGCCTCCATTCATGTAATGACACCACGTGCCTTCTTTTCCCCACCACAGCTTTGTGTAATTGGGGCTGACAATACATTTCTCTTAAAGGCCTGAAACGTTTCATTTTCCTTTACAAACTAGTTCATTGGTTAAACACCAGACATTTGGTAGATTTCTTTACAATCCAAATTAGCCTTAACTATGAGCCTAATACAGAGTTACTACCCACCTTATAATGCACATATGTAATACACATGTCAAATATTTATTCATATGTATTGATATATATATATATAGAGAGAGAGAGAGACATGCACCTACACACCCACATACTCACTCATGTAATGGACTATAGAAATGATCCCTGAAAGTACAATCTTCCCACTCATGCAAATCTCCTTTCCCAGAACCAAAGGGTCAGGACTTCGTATACAAAGGGACATATTTTTTTGTTATTTTTAAGAACTGGAACTAGTGAAGTGTTTCTTTTGTAAGAACGGGCTTTGTTGCCATCCCAATTGTCTATGTGCCCTTTCTTTATGGACATTATTCCTTCCCACAAATGATTAAGACCCTAAAGTCACCAATTCTGATTGAGAAAACAAATGTTTAATATTAATCACATTCACTATGTAAATGGGAAACAACGTAAACTATGTAACAACGGGAAAGACTTTGCATATTTCTAGCTAGTGAACAATTTTAAAGTCAGATTGCCTAGTATTTTCCAGGCTGTAAGGAACATTTAGAAGCTGTGTTTATTTCACAGAATAAAGGGGTACCATTTAGGTTGGTGCCTGGTCTGCATTAATAACCTTAGGCCCCCAACTTGCTATTCAGGTTTGGTGCCTTGATGGAATTAATACAGCATCTAGGAATTGTCTAACTTGCATGCGGAGAAGAGCCTAAACCAATGAATGATTTCCATCTGCTTTTATAATACTCCCGGGGAATCTCAGGTTACTTCAAAGATCAGAAATCTTAAATAAAATTAATCTGGATAAGGAAATCTTATACACTATGTCAGATATAAATATATACCCACATGACACAGTCCTTCTGGAAGAGGCACGGGGCAGGAAATTAATGGGGTAATTGCATACCAAGATTTCAGAAGGATAAAATGATCCCAAATTATAATAGGTGTCATTAACTAGATTAGAACTAATCATAGAAAATAAAAACCCACTTACTTCACACAACATCATATATTTGGATCATGAGAAAGTAAAAAGGTTTTCAGGGACAAAATCATGAAGCTATTTTTAAAATAGATGCTTTTGTGGAATTACTAGTAGACTTAATAGAACATGAATCAGTTGCATGGCTGATTAATTTTTTCATGTCTATATCAAGCTACATGCCGGTCTGTAAGTGAAGAAGCAGTTCATCCTGCATCTCAACAAAATGTTTACTAGACATCCTTGTCACTAATGGAATCGACACACAACCAATACATTTATTCATAATGTGCACATATGCAGGTCAAAGGTTAAGAAAATATTTCCAGTCCAACGGTAATCAAGCAAACCTCCTGTAATTAGGCTTTTCACTGAGTCCTTTGGAGGATATGTACTGGAAACAGTCCAAGGGACTTTCGAAAATGTGACTAATCACAAAATTCCTTTGTTTAAATAGAATAAACACATTCACACCAGCAGACTAAGGCAGAGATTATGAGCACGAACCTGCCCCTTCCTAACTTTGTAACTGGGGGCAGGTTTCTCATCCATGCTTGGTCTGTGTCTCCATCTGAACAGGAAAAGCGCCCACCACAAAGTTGTTGTAAGGATTAAGTGAGTTAGCAAGGAGAACGCTTAATGTACATAGTAAGTCTTCAATAAGTGTCAGTTCTAACTGTCACTGCTGTCCACCGAGTCAGAGGCTCCCTGAGCTGAAGGCCACTGTAGAACTCAAGATTACTAATGAATTGATAACCATGTTGACTATCTTTAATGTATTTTCACTACACAATATTATCTGTGTTAAATGTCAATATTAAATAGCTATAACTTAACTACATCTGCATATTAGCTTGCATATTTGTCCTCTGGAGCCTTGCCACTAATTACCTGAGTGGCCTTGGTGAGTCACTTCGCCCGGGCGAAGACCAGATTTCTTATTCTAAGAACAAGAGTATCAGGAAGCTGACGTTCCCCTGGATTCTCTGAGTTGCAACTGTATAACCTATCTGAAGAAGCCAACCTGTAGGAAATGGGAGACTCCTGACAACAAGTTCCTTGAAACAGCACATAACGAAATGCTAGGATGAAATGAGATACATAAAATGTACATCAAAAGGACCACACCTACCATTTTTATTGGGAAGTTATAGGGAAAATGCAGATCTAATATATTTTAATAAATTATTAAAGTATATCTCAGCCAGCCTGGCTGACTGGATCACAAGGCAGGAATGTTTTTCAAGCACTCCCAGAAGGCTCCTGAGCCCTCCTGAACGCTGGGCTGGAGGCTATTGGTAATCAAGAATGGACACAAGACACCTCTGTAAGAAGGGAAATGGGCTCTTCCTATAGGAAGAAGAAATTGAAACGATTATGAGATGACCCAGGGGATCATTCGAAACCCTTTAAATACATGTCTTGGGAAAAGAGAACTTTACCCTGACTAGATTTCTGACCGAGAGAGGCCCTTCAAAGACTGAGAACAGTGAGGTCATGTAGACAGAGGGTAAAGAGAGTAGGAAGAGTAAAGGAAGCCCCAATACACTGAGACCACTGGGCCCAAGAGGAAAGTCAACTGACTTCCCAAACCCTTCTTTAAAATGCACATGGTATAAAGCTCTACTACTAAATACATCGACAGCCCTGATGAATATAAATTCAGAAGCAAGTAGGTATTTGGGTTCTTCCTACTCACACAGAGGCTCTCAGTCACCCCAGGGCTCCCCATTGCCTAAACATTTATAAACTTATAGGGGAAACTATACACAATGTTACCAATGGGAGGAGATTTGAAACGCACCCATTTGGTCAATGCTGGAGAACTGTGAATTTCTCTTTTGTGGAAAATCAAAATTTTGCCTCTCACAACCCCTTGAATCATCAAGAAGAAGTCAGAGGAACATAACAAATTAGCATTTCCCACTAAAATTAAACAAATCCCTTTGCCTCGCCGCCAACCCCGCCCCACTGGCCATCGCACCCTGGCCAACGTCTCGGGTTACAAAGGACACTGTTGGCTTCCAGTAGGAAGAGAGCAACTACTAATCCCATTCACATCAGATACTGTCCACCACATTGCTGTGAAATATATTTTCTAGAAACTAATAAAAATAGGTCCTTAAGACAATAGCCTCGTGTTAATTTTAAGAGCTGAAACATTACAAATTAACATACTGTAAAGCAACTTAATTAAAAATTATGTCCATGCACAGTCGTAACCACCAGAACATGCATCCGCAACTCCCAATGTTACGCAATGCTGGATTCTAAATCGGTCTGAATTTAAGAAGCCCACAGGCTTGGATATAAATTCTCAGTTCTTGTGGCTGTGGCCACCCTATACTCTCGTCCCAGTGGTGGACGCAAACGTTAATGTGTTATTATTAAGGACACAGGACCATCGAAGGTGACATTTTTCGCTTTCACCTTCGGAGGCTTTCCCCAGAACTGCCCAATGATCGCCCACGCCTACTTCCACCGAAGGTGGACCCTGCAGACTCTGGATCACGACCGTAGCGTCTCGGTCCCCACCTCTGGGGGAAGCCTGATCTTAGCAAGTGGCCCTCAGTGCGTCCAGCAGATCCGCCAGCGACGCGGTGGCCGCGCGGTTTCATCATTAATGCTCCTGAAGGACAATAGCTCATCAAGCCCCACCGAAAGCCCTGGACCCGTCGCGGAGCCTGGGCTGGCGGGGGATGAGGCTGAGCAACTCCTCCTAGAGGTGGTTATGTGGAGAAGGAGCAATCCCTTCTCCCTCCTCCTCCTCCCCCCGCTACTATCCGCGGCCCTGAGAACTGCTGCTTGCCGCCATTGACACGCACAGATAGAACCTAAAGAAAGGCAAAGAGTCCTGCCGGGCACCGGCGCCGCACGGGCCGAACCTGCGCGCGGGCAGCGGCGCGCAGAGGGCACCGGGCGCCCGGAGCAAGCGGCGCAGCACCAGGTGAGCCCGCCATGGCGATGGCATTATTGTTCGGGGGTCTTCGGGGTCTGGAAACAAAACCGGCCGCGGGAACAGTGCAGGGGCCAGAGAGAACCCCCTGCTTCCCCCGCCGCCCAGCCCCCGCGGGTGCACCCGGGATAGTCTGCCCACCCCGCAAAGAGAAAAAGAAGAATTAATAAATTAAGCTGCCCAACTTGCTTCCTCGGGAAATAAAGGGGGGTTGCTAAAGAAGCGGTAAAATTCCTGCGGCCGGTGAGGAGCCGGGGCATCTCGGGCGAAGAGGGAGGGAGGAGGAGGGATGCGGAGTCCAGCGGTGGGCCCCGGGCGAGGCTGGAACTGGAGGAAGTGGAGAGCTCCTAGGGATGCGGAGTTTGGGGCGAAGAGGGACGAGAGAGGCGCCCAGCCGACAAGGGGGACCGGCACGGGGACAGGGGGCTGCGCAGGGGTCGAGGGAGCCCGGCAGGGCCGTTCGGGGGCCTTCCAGGGTGCCCGGGCTGAGCGCCGGCGGCTCCAGGCTGACAATGGAAGGGACGCGGAGGCGCGGGGCGGAGGGAAAGCACCGGGGCCCCGGATGCGAGGATGCGGGGAGCCCGGCGCCGCGGCGCCCGTGAGCCGGGTCCGGCACGGAGGAGGGCTCGGGGACGGGCACTCCCCTCCGGTTCCCTTTCCGGGGCGCCCGGTGCCAACGCGCGACAAGCTTTCCCCGGGAAATGGCGGCCACTGCACGGCTCGCTTGGGCGGCCCCGGGTTCCGGCTTTGCGCGGGAAAAAAATAATAATAATAAGGAAAGGAGATTTAAAAGTAAAGTGGCTGCGACGCAGGAAAGGGCTGCGCTGAGCGCCAGTGGCGTTGCGAATCGTGCGGGGCGCGGCGGGCGGGGACCTGCCCTGCCTCCTCGGGCTCCTAGCCCGCTCTCCTGGAGTGCCCTAGTTACAGCCTGGCTCGCCTCTGAAATCGCGCTCGTGGGTGTCTTTCCCCGCCTTTCCTCGTGGGGGCGCCCTCCGCTCCTGCCCTCTTTGTTCCACACAACAATGGCCTAAAGGGCCTTGAGCCCCCAAAGAGCCAAATGCGCCTCCTTCAGGGGGTTCAAGACGCTGATATGGGCCACCACCGGCGTGATGTAGGCCCGTTCACTGCTGGGGTTTATTGGTAACAGCTAACAAAAAGGGCGAGAAGAAATGGGCTAAGAAACCAAAGCGAAGGTTCATGTGTGTTTGACGGGGTGCAGCCAGGCCCTATGGTAAAGGCATGTCCGGTGTTCCAACAGACCTGGCGAACTGAGGTACCGGCCCATCCTCTGTCCAGCGCAGGAGGATTCAAAACAGGGCCCAGATCTAAGCCCCTCCAGCCCTCGGGAGCCCATTCTTTTGGGGTCATTTAATCCGCCAGAGCAAATGGTTTCCTCACTTCTCACTGGTGTTTGTGTCGAAATGCAGTTGTATCCTCACTAGGCTGCGCAGTTGGTGAGAGAAAAAGAAACATTCTTAAGAATGGACATGTGTCTTCATTTATATTGTTTCTTATCTAGAACCAGTTCCTTTGTGAGACACAAACAAAGCTAGACATAATTCTCAATTTGTTTGTATTTAACGGAAAGTTATCGCTTATCTCCCCTCCCCCAAAAAACTCTTTATTTGCAAATAATACTCATAGCACTATGATTTGGAGCTACACTTGTGTATTTTTAGAAATACTTTAGTTCAAGATCATCGTATAAATAAAGGCACGGCCTGGAGGAAAATTACCTTGAACCCTGTAATTCACACCTTTAAAACCGGCCCTGCCTCTAAACTTCCTTTAAAAATTGTGCCCTAACCTCCACTTCAGTTCCCCTACCCTGTTCGAGTTCGTCCTCACCTGAATCCATTTATTGCCACACTTTAGACATTATTAATGGTTTCCTGTATTTCAGAACTTTATAAAAGAATTTATTTCCTTGCATCCAGAATGTTGCAAAGATTCTGACCTTACTCCCTCATCATTCTATCTTCTGTCCAGTTGCCAGGAATTCCGAGGCGCCTGTAGTCTGCTCTTCCCCAGTGGGTGGGACACCCTGCTAGCTATTGTCTGAGGCAACCAGGTCTGTTTTCATAGCCTCCTGCCAGCAAAGCAGGAGGGAATTCTGTGTTAGGCAACTTCAAATGAAAGATATCTGTAATTTTTTCAGGGAGAGGGATATGCAAAAACGCAACCAACTCTCTTAAGAATGTTTTTCATTCTTAAGAAATAACCTCAAAGTTATATGCAGTCTTGGCAGATGCTTTTTGAAAAGTGAGTATTGCACAGAGATGAGCAAAGAACTTACCATGAGAGATCATTCCAGCATTTGTTGAACAGTAGTTTTTAAACACCTCTGAATGAGGGCGGATATGCAAATACGAGGTGGTCATATTCTTAGCGCTTAGGGTCTGTTCTTAGAGAGCTTTCAACCCCAAGCCTAGGAGATAAAATGGTATGTGCAGGTAAAAGGAGGTAAAAAGTTCTTAATATTGGTGAGCTAGCTGGAAACAAATACTATCCAACACTGCTGACAGGTGTGTAAATTGATGCAGCTAATTTGGAGGGCAGTTTGGCTCTATGAAAACACATAATAGGCATATTCTGTGACCCAGCAACTCCATTTCTTGGTATGTATCCCAGAGAAGCAGGCATGCACACACACGGATTATGATTCCTTTTCATTGCAGAGTTCTGGTAGTTCTGAAATTGAACACATCTAATTGCCATCATTAGGGAATGGCTAAGTAAACCGGTACGTCTATCTTCTGGAAAATTAGGTGGCAGTTAAAAGCAATGCAGTAAGTCTGTTTATACTGAGACAGAAAGGACACATAGTATTAATGGGAAAAGCACACTGCAGAACCATATATGCTGTATGGCACCCTTTTAAAAACAAAATAAAGCTATGCATTTCTATAAGCAAAAGTGTATACACAAATGGATAGGGGTGTGTGGAACAAGATACCCACTCAGAGACAAAAATGGGAGGAATTGCCAACGGGGCATTTAGTCATATCGTTATGCATACCCATCCATAACCATGGTTATAATATTTGAAATTTGCATTAATTTATAAGTTGATTGGATAACAAAATATAATTAACAATTTAAAAGTGATGGTGTGTAATAAAAGCCACAAATAAAATGCTACAACAACTTTTAAAGTGAGAAGAGAATTCTAGGCTGCAAGGGAAGGCTTCATAGAGAAGGCACTGGGATTTGGGGGGAGAGGGGGAAAGGCGACAGGCGGGAAAAGGTAGCCTGACGCAGACTCGGAGCTCTAGCTTGCGGCTCCTCTCTTCCTTCAACCCGTTTATGTAAATTCCCTCGCAAGGCTGATCCTGCCCTGCCCTGCCAAGGTTCAGATTGAGGAGTGACCTAAATGAACAGTTCGCAATTCCTTTCATTGCTGTAGTTCTATGAATGTCTTCAAGTAGATAAAGAAGGGAAGAAGAAGAGTCAGGAGAGCATATACATTCTAACAATTGTTTTGGAAGGTAGTGATTTTTAGAAATTTTTAGGTGAAAACTTCAGGATAAGGATTTTTTTTCTTCTGGATGCACCCTGGTATATATATTGGAAATTAGGCTAGAGAGTAAGGTAAGTATTGAGAAGATAATTCATTTTCAAAAAAAAAAAATCTGAAACAGAACCCAAATCTGCTTTAGAAACAAGTGTTTAGGGCTGGTTTCATTTATTTGTCCCTTCGCTTAAGGAATGTTTATTGAATGTTGTGTACATAACGCTGTGTTAGGCACAGGCGAGGAGTGAAATCTGCAACGACAGAGTGTGGGCAACACAGCCCCGGGCCTGGGCTGCACAAGTGGAGGTGAGGCTGCCGCTTCCAGGCCTGATCTTACCCAGACTGTGTGGCCATTGACCTGTTGTTTGGTGACCACTGCCCCTCCCAAGCCACACCTGTAATGGTGGCTAAAATTAGGAACTAGCCGATGGATCACTCAGGTCCCTGTCGATATTAGATTGTGATTTTGTGAAATCCTGTGGTTCTAACACTGTGATGATTGTGAATTTTCAGGCAGATGGAATTTATGGAACATAGACTCAGACGAGGCAGGGCCCAAAAGTGTCCAGCCTTGGGAAAAACAGAAGTATTTGCTGTCATGAGTGTTCTCAGGAGATTATGTGTCTCTTGGAGTTTTTCCAGAGTTAAAACTTCATTTGTGCCTCTTTACATCGGCTTCAAAGATCAGTGATGCAGAAAGATGTTGCTGAGTTTTCAGCTTCCTGTTATCAAGCACACAGTGTCCAGCACCGTGGTATTACAGTACATCGACCCTGGAACAGCAATGGTGCCAACTGTGGGTCCACTTAAACGCAGATTTTTTCAATAAATACTTTAAGTGCATTTTCTCTTCTGTGGACATAAGAACGTCCAGAGCTGTAGAGGACTTTTATGAAAGTTTGAGTCAAACAGAGGACATGCCTGGAAGCCAGCTCTCAATAGATAAGCAGATGCTCTGGTCGCACTTCCTTATGATTTTCTTAATAACATTTTCTTTTCTCTGGCTCACTTTGTTGTAAGGACGTAGTATACACTGTACATAACATATAAAATGTGTTAATAAAAAAGTATTAATCAACCATTTATGTTATCAGAAAGGCTTCTGGTCAATGGTAGGCTGTCAGTAGTTAAGTTTTGGGGGTGAAAGTGTCACACGATTTTTGACTGTGCTGGGAGGTCAGCACCCTGAACCCTGGCATTTAACAGTCAACTGTAGTGTCTTTCGAAATAGAGGGACAGTGTTAGCATTCTGTAAAAAGAGTTCTTTGTAATTGTTTTTTGTGGAAATAAGTCATAATAGCCAAAGTTTATTAAATGACTGCTACCTACCACACAGTGTTCCAAGTACTTTATATGTATTAACCTATTTGATATTATTTTTTTCAGTTTTCTAAAGTATATTTTATCGATTATGCTATTGGGGTTGTCCCATTTCTTTTCTCCCCTTTATCTTCCTCCACCTTGCACCCCTCCAGCC